AACACAAGGGACCAATAGGAGCAAAATAAAAGTGTATACATGGAGAGATTTTCACACACAAAACCTTCAGAACGGATCTTACAATTTCAAGAATGACAGTGTATAATTGTGGTCGACTATGATGTTAGTACTGCTCTAATAATAGACCTAATTCTAAAATTGTAGATTTGTCGTGATATAACTGCCTAATCTATCATGGGTCAAGGACATATGGCCATTCAAATCCCTAGAGATTTTGGGCTTTCACAGATCAACTTTACTAAATATGCTTACAGTAGAATCACAATCTTATTGAGATCATACAGAAAACTAGGGCTATTTTAAGGTATTAAGCCTGCAACTCAGTGGAGAAACAGTTAAACAGTGATGCACTTAGACTCCTTCCTCACGGACAAAGGACTAGTGGTTGATAACCTCTTGTGTCTGACTCATTTTTGACAATCTGACTACATCGTTCTATCTTTAAACTCCACCTTTAAAAATAAACTAAGTCGTCCTGTAGACAACAGGTGCTCAGACTTAAGGCAACTGGTTATGAATTCAGACAACTGCATATACTCTGGGAACATACCAAACACTTATTCACTTAACAATTTAACTGGCAGATCGGTACGAAGCAATGTGAAAACTCATACAAACAGATGTTGGTTGTAATGTTTTATCCATGATCATTTCTTATATATAAATATATATTAATATCTATGTCCGTTTGTCTATGTCGCTCCTTTGTCTGTTTGACCTATAAATAAACAAGCTCAACAACCAATATGTCAATCAATCTACATAATCCATCAAAAACGTGTACGATTTGGTTCACTCTTATTGTTTGGTTGCCAAGTACGTTTCCATGAAATATAATCTTTCCAAAATATTTCGTATTGAGTATTCCCATATGGTATTGTCCAAGGTGGTAACTCTAAGGATACATAAAAGAAGATAAGTTGTTATAAATGTTACGCAGGAAATAGATGAACTAGCATAGCAGAACAATCTCAGGGGATAAAGCGAAAGTGCTATAATCAGTTTGACAAGACTGCTCATTATAAATTCTCACCGAACGTTGTAGTATGTTTTTTTATTTAGTCTGATCCCTTAAAGTTTCGAGCAACCTAAGGTCACACTGAATTATACCTTCAGATTGCTAAAACTGGAACAACGCTTCCATGTGGAATTTAAATGGACCAGGAGCAATTAGAAATAAGGGAGGTTCAAGCACGTCAACAATATGCACTCAAAGTTCCAGAAAATAAAATAGACATGAGGAGCAGACTAGAATGATTATAAGGACCGTATTCAGCCCGAAAAACCCATTTCATAATTCAATCACTTCCAAAAATCCAAACTTCGCGTCTTCTAGTCGTTAGGTCTTAATGGCGAGGTCAGTAGTGGATGAGGTTCTGCAGAACACATGGTTAGCCAGTATTTCCAAACGCCCAAGCCACCATCTACAATAAGTGAGGACCTCATCTCAAGCGTAGTAGAAATGTCTGAAGGAAGTGATGCAACATTTGCTTCAGTACCCTGAGGAGAAAAACATCTAAGCTCGATTTGGTTTACCTAAATGTTGTGAAGCAAGCAGCTTCGACTCAGCCGACATTTTTCGGTTTGCCACTACCACATTCCTTACACCAAGGTGAAGGAGTTGACATAAGTCATTTCAGTCTTTAAAAGTTACCGACCTCACTACCCTTCAAACCAGAGGTTTGTAGCTCTACTTTATATGCCCTCTGATGTTATGGAGCCATTTACCCCCCTGTCATGCAGAAAGTTACTTATACAGTCTGGGACTGTATAATGGATTCCAAAACGTTCCAGTTTGAATTTAAGACCAGAGTGGGAGACTTTATCAAAGGCCTTACTTAGATCTATGAAGATCACATCCACAGGAATATTCTGATCTTCTGCAGCAGCCCAATCTTTTCTTGCAATGAGAAGATTCGTCAAGCATGATAGGGCTCTCCGAAAACCATGTTGTTCCCTGGAGGGAAGATTATGCCCTTCTAAATAGTTTATAGCAGATATCCGAATGATTTTTTACATCAGTTTTACAGCTGCACTAGTTAAGCTAACGAGCCTATAGTTACTAACTAAATCCCTACTACCAGCCTTATACACCGGACTTATTATAGCGTCTTTCCAGTCTCTGGGCAGTCTGGACTGCCTTAGCGACATGTCAAACAGTATCGCTAATGGTTCAGCAATTACGTCTGACTTGGCTTTCATAATCCTAGGATGAATATAATCAGGAACACTGGACTTATCAGGTTTGAGATGCTGAAGTAGCCTTAAAACAGTACCTTTCTCTAGGATTACGGTGTCTATCAGCGAGCCACCGAGATCACAGTGAATCTTTGGTCGTTCCTCATTACCGATAGAAAAAACTTTACTGAAATATTCCGATTAAGCTTCAGCTTTTTCGGTACCACTTTCTGCCGAGATTAACGGATTTTCTTGCATCAAAAGTGATGGACTTCCATCTCTTCTCTGAGTTCCCCTTTTTAAATATGAGAATAACCGTTTCGGACTATATCTAGAATCCCTAACTAATTGTTTTTCATATGATCGTCTAGTCTTACTTATTAACGCTTTACAGGCATTCCTGATCTTACAATAACTGGATCTGTATTGTTCTAAGCCAGTAGAGCTAATCATATTCCGATGCTTCTTCCTTCTAAGAAGTTTTCTGACCGGTTTAGTTATCCATGGTGGACTGTTATTCGGTCTTCGCGGTACTAGGTATGGTATGAACGAGGACGTGACTAAACTAAACTTACCTCTAAATACAGACCATGCTTCTTCAAGTGATAAGCTAGTATCTACAAACCAATCTGTCTTGGCAGCGCATTCCTGAATGACTGATATGTTAGATTTCCATACATTTGGGCGGGGTGTAACCTGATCGTATAACGTGTCCCTAGTTTTAAACATGAATGACAAAACAGCGTAATGGCTGTTCACCAATGGCGGAAGAATATTTAGGTCGACAATATCCTCAGTCTCATGAGTGATTGCCAAGTTCAACAGAGAAGAACCCTGGTTAGCATCAAAACGTGTGTTTGGATGCATACCGCACTGATGCTCGCTCCATTATTGTTATTAGGAACCTACTATCAAAGAAGTTTATAGATCCTTCCGTGGTCATCTCAGTCCAACTAACATCAGGTGCATTAAAGTCTCCTATTACCAAGCATCTGGTATTTGCACTACAAAGATAAATGTGCTCTAAAATAGTCATCAGCTAAGCAGATTGGGCTGCGATAGATGACACCAAGCATAAATGTACTAAATCCGATAGTCAACTTACAGCTAATGACTTCACAAGTACCGCTGTCATGGGATTCGCTAGCAGAGGAGCGGATATTTATATTATTGGCTATATATAACAGGACGCCACCTCCTTTTCTACATCCATGTCTATCACTCCTTAAGTGATGGTATCCGGAGTAATGTCTAAGTCCAAGACTAACCAAGTTTCGGTCGCTGCTACAATGAGTGGCCTTAATCTGTCCACTAATGCTTCTAGTTGATAGAACTTGTTTCTTATACTACGAGTATTGGGATATAAGACTCCTAGGTAGAACGGCCTATCTACACAGGCCTTGGTAGCATTCGCTTCCATGACCTAACTATCCGAAAATCCACTAACCGGAAATTTTCCTCACCGCTTTGTTGACTGGTTTTTGGTACAGCTAGTGCTTTCTTCCCTTACATTCTATCTTCGGGTGACATATCAGGTTTAATTCGGATGTCGGAATTGTCGTGTCAACGAGCACTACTTAACAGGAGATCCCGTTGCTTCTCCGATCCTGGGATTACCTTAAGGAGTCTACATGGTTGGGGTTCAACATTGTCTATTCTAACCAGTTTTTTGACCTGAACTCCTTTAGAGTTATCTGGTAAGATACTACGAATATATTCTCCCAGCTTTTCTAAATCATGTGCGTGTCTAGTCTTGGGATCAGGGTCGTTTGACTCGAGCAATTTGCTCACAACAATATTCGATGATATTAGATTCTTCTTCTCAGTCACGCTAGGGTGGGTTCCTCTCTTACTATCAGATTTTGGTAGTGCATTTTGTGACTTACTATGGGAGACCACAGATGACTTGCTAACCAGCTGAGTACTGCCTACAGATTTTTTCTTTTCGTTTCCTCCGTACTGTAGTCCATTATTCACCCCTCAGGAAACCGGGACTATTTAGAACGGTGACGGTTTTATCCAGATCTTCAGTTTCACTAGAGGTGCATAGTTACCAATGTAAATGTCAGGTGGTACTTCTCCCCTCGTTTACGTTAACGGAGATTTCACTTTTCCGTCAATCAAAGTCGAGTGTTTGAGGTGTCTCGTAACAGCAGGTACTACACTGAGACATTCGTCACTGTCAGTGCTTGTGTTATCAGCGCATGCGCCATCGGTACAGGCCAAAGTAAATAGGCTCATAGCATCCTGTATTAGTAACGTCTTATTTGTACAGCAGAACATTCAAAGCCATTGTGAGTTAGGCTTCAAACATCTTTTGTATGGGGTGGGACTTAAACGGTTACACATCTTATGGAACCACTTCTTGCATTCATCACACTGCATCCCTTCCTCCACAGGAAACAACAGTTTGGTTGTCCACATTTATGAGTACTACCAATCATTTTAGTCAGATTAAGGTGTAAAGCACAATATGATCACAATATGAACACAAGTGCCAGTCAATGAATAGAGGGGTACCACAAGACGAACGTTAGCAAGATTTCAAACCTTAACTAAAGTACTTTAATATAGATCAAGAATGTTTTTGATGCAACAATTACACAAAAGCAAGGATAATCACAACAAGTACAAAATCCCTGCCTGAAGAAATGGGTAAACCACTGACACTGGAATGGGAAACAGTGTTATATTCCATCAACAACCATTTGAATAAATTAGAGATTGGATATTTGATGCATAATTTTGATTTTGTTTCGAAGGTCACTCGGACGTCCTCTAACATTATTTGATCTGGGGTCATGTCTGTCGCATTATCTGAGTTATATGCTCTAGACAGTCTAGCAGTTGGAGACATCCCTACCATCAAGATAAATTGTGGTAATTAAATTTCACATTAAAGCTAAGAATCAGACACATTTTTGAGAACGCTACAAGATGTTAGTTTTCCTGACAAAGCTGGTGGGTTCACCTTTTCTGACTCAGCAGTTGCTTTGAAGAGTCGTTTTATTTTATGGTAAGATGAAAATTAATCCATATACTTTTAGGCGTTCACATGAGGACATGCTAGAGTTGCAAGAACTGTCTCTACATCATGACCTCCCAAATAATGTTATGAAAATCTCTTTCGGAGGTTCCGCTATAGTTGATTGCCAGATAGCTGAAACTCCTGAAAACATTGCGTGCCTTGTGTGCACTTCTCACGGGGCCTCACAGCTGATGTTCCCTCATCCACGTGTGGTAATCAGATAATAATAAACTTCAATATACATCTAGATTGCAACTTCTGTTCAACAGTCCATTATCGGTTGCAGGAGAAACGTTCATCATACTTTCCATCAAATAAAAGGGCTTCAGCCGATGAACATCCGTTGTGGAACAGCCTTTATTCAGAGTCATTCTGGTGTCTTGGTCTTTGCCTATGGATTGTCTACGGGTTCCATACTCGTTGCAAGGGTGAATCCACATAATTCTTCCGGTAAAGAGTCGTAGCTAATGACAATACTTTATTTAACCCTTCATATTTTCCAAAGCAAAGTGTTCCTAGCACAGATTGCGTTGTTGCAACTAGAGTTTATCTGGTTCTTTTTACGTTTTTTGTACGTACTTTTTTAGGACATTTAAAGGCTTCAAAATCTTAGTCTTCATAATAACCTAGCTGATCCCCCACAAACTTCTTTAGTTGTGGTATCAATAATCGGATGGTATTAGGCATAAATTCAACCACTTATTTGGTTAATAACTTTTATCATAATGCCTGTTGCGTATAATTTTGACCTAAGTTGTTTCGAATATTTCCTATGAACAATCAATTAAAAAAATTATTGATTATATACTTATGGTGTTATAATAGAAACTACATACACAATCCAGCAAAACGTAATACCACCATCCATAAAACATTTTGTTTGCGAATTACCAGAGGTGTGTCTCAGTGGTTAGAGTACTAGTTGTATCACCGGCCCTCATACTTATTTGGATTTGGATTTGGTGAATTAGTTAGAAGAAACATGTAGATATATTGGTTTATTTATTTAAGTTCTATTGACCACTTTAGTAGTGAAATAATTAAAAGTTCTCATACTTTTCGTTTTACCCACAGAAGTCACAGAAGTTTTTGAGCTATGTCAAACTTCAATGATTCAGAAGATATGGTGCGGTATTACGCCGTTTTCTAGGTAATTCTCATGTTCTAATATATTTTTAATCTCAGCAAAAACGACAACGATTCTTCTTCCTCACCACTAGACATAAGTTTTTTGAGTCTTGGATCCGATGAGTACTTCCTAGCCACTGTTTGCAAAGATCACCGTTTGAGGATATGGGACCTCAAGGCAAGTATTATTCTTTTCCACTTTGTCATCAAGCTGTTCCCGTTTCTTAATGCTTGTGGTGTATCTTATCAATCGTTACTGATGCTTTTACTCAACTATTTATAACAAGATTAATGCACCTGATATTTCCATATTTATTTATGATTATTTATTATTTATTTGAACACACAAATATTGATACAAGGGGGCAACTAATACATATGCTCCACACAAAACAATGAGAATGAGGGAAAAAAGGTAAGGAACGTAAAAGAAAAAAAAAGAAGAGGAACAATAACGACCAGATTAGCGTAAGGTAGTGTAATAATAATATTAATGGGGGAAACGGACAGGTACAACTTGAGAGAATTCTTTGAGGTAGGGGAGACACAACCACTTTTTATGAAGAAAGTAAAGGAAGGTTACAGCAGGATCGCCACTGGCTTCTATTCTGAGCCACATCTGATAACTTCTCTGGCCACTGTGTTGCACCATCTCTCGGACCCCAGTCAGGGAGTCGTGAAGGACCAACACGTGCTAGCCCTTTGCAGCTTTCTTTCATACCCCGACACCATGTCATAAACTGATCACCTCTCCGCTTTTTCCAACCAGTCCAGGCGTCGGCAAATAATGCGCGGTGAGAAATTCTCTAGGACGACATTCGCAGAAAATATCCAAGACACCGAAGTCGGTGTTTCAAGATAGTGATACCAATTGACTTATCGTCTCTGTGCCCGGACAAACGGTGCCGAACCTCTGCATTACTAACATAGTGTTGCCACTGGATGTCAACGATGGTCAAACACAGCGAGTCGTCTAACATCCTCAACTCGGAGAGGCCACGTTTCACAAGCATACAGCAGAACTGCTCTCACCGACGCGTTGTAAATCCGGCCTTTTACAGCCAGACTAACATCACGAAGGCGCCAAAAATGGCCCAGGTTGGCATAAGACGCTTTGGCTTTCACTATACGTGCATTGATTTCATCACTCACACCCTAACCAGCGTTTATGCAGCTACCCAGATACACGAACTTCTCGACTACTTCTATCTGCTTACCATCCAGGGTGAGTACAGGATTAGAATCCTACCACTCTTGTAGAAGTACTTTGCACTTCGAAGGTGCAAAGCACATACCATACCTACGGACACTGATTGCCAACTGATTAAGTGCGGATTGCATGGCTTGAGCATTATCGCACAGTAAGACGATATCATCCGCATACTCTAGGTCGAGAAGTCTTTCTCCAGGCAACAGATCCACACCGCCATTACTTACATCCATCAGAGCTGTTTCCAGAATGTCATCGATGGTAAAGTTGAAGAGGAATGGTGAGATTGGGCAACCCTGTCTAACCCCACTGCTCGAATGGAACAATGGAGAAAGGTGGTTGTATACCCTCATTCTGCCTGAAGTGTTTGCATGTAGGGTCTTTAGGATGTTAATAAACTTCTCAGGCACACCCTTTTTCAATAGACAATCCCAGAGAACAGTCCTATCCAACGAATCGAAGGCAGCCCTGATGTCAAGAAACACTACGATTGTTGGCCTTTGATAAGTATGACGGTGTTCTAACATTTGGCGGAGGGTGAAAATATGACCAATACGTCCTCGACCAGAACGAAAACCAGCCTGCTCCTCGAGAGTCAATCTTTCTTGGGTTTTGAACAACCTGCTGCCCAGCTGTCGAAACTAAATTCGATGAGGTTGGATTCAAGATGTCGCGTCATTGATTCAAAATAAGGTCATTCAATTAATAATGTTTCCCTGAATTTTATCTACAATTCGGCCGGCGTTTAAATAACGAGTATTCACTTCGCTACAAACTGTAGATCTTATTTTATAAGCTCAGACATTCATGTCTTTCATGCAGATTTTACTGTTTGCTCAATTTATGCATTTTTTATATTAATTTAGCATCGCAGCTGTTTTGTTGCATTAGATCTTCTGGAGGTTTTACCCAAGACGTTTGGTCTTGATTCTACTTATGATCCATCTGCATCACACTCGATGTTTGCACCTGGTTTGTGTCACCGTCTATCTTCCTATCCCGCATCTGATCGTGGTATCACATTAGTTGTATACATGTCTATGTGTTTGTCTTCATCTAACAGCATTAGTTTCGATACTACCCCTTCTGAGGAAGTAAATTCAAGCTACTGGTGTTGGATGCATCTGGATATCAACAAAGCTCTAAGTCGTAATCGAGAAAGTTTAAGTGTACTAAGAGTAGAACCACTATTTCAACCTTCGTGGGGAAATAACGCAGAGTTATGGCCACACAAGAGTGGTCTGAACATGTTGCCTAAAATAAAAAGACCAGATGTTAGTGTTTTGGATTTTATTCCTTCACAAGTAATCCAAAGACCAGGCTGTTTAGATGATTCGTCTGAAAGCAGAAAAAAGCATAAAAAAGCTCTCGGTAAATATCAATCTTTTAAAAAAAATATTATCTTACTTTATGTAGTTAAAATTTTATGTTTTTACTTGTCTACTTGTCACTCCTGGTCATATCAAAGAGCTCTATAAAACATCCAAATACTTAATAATTTTGTTTCCATACACCTTGAAGTAAGAAATGTTTCGTGAGGCTCAGGAGTTTCGGGATGATTATCATCATACTAAAGTTTAATTTTAAGGGCGAATTAAGGCATAAAATATATTCCCTATTGACCAACATTACTTGCATCAAAATATCACGAGAGCTAGAACAGTACCATGCTACGTTTTCTGAAGTAGCAGGTGGTATTTTGAAGTATCTACCTCTGTTATAATTTATCTTATTACAACGCAGCTACTTTTATTGATTAGTATTGGACACCACTTCATTCGACTAGTCCCCAAACCAGAACACAGTCGAGCAGGAATGAAATTATATTCCAAATAACTGGAGTAGATGAAAGTCGGAATCACAACAAGAAAAGCGTTAGCATGTTTGTAATATTTACATACGAAGATTCTAATGTCTTCGCCAAGTACCCACTGGCGCTGATTGGATAAGAAATAGTCAGTCAGTGTGCCCCAACACAATCCTGTATGGAACATTCCTTAATCCAATCTATATCCCGCTAATAACTTTCGAACCATTGAGTTGTAAGCCTCACCAAATGGTCAGTAGGGCAACGTCAGGCAATACATTTTTCGGTATATTGTTCTCGTGGCGGGGGTGTTGGTTACGAAATTGGGAGGACGAAAAGCGAATGTCCGGCGCTTTAACCGGATCCAAAAACAATGGTGCACATGGGCTCCAGTATCCTGCGGGAACAAATGGTTTATGAACCGATTGTTGGTCACCGGCTTCCATGGGACTGTATCTCCTTACGATGCTCCACTGCCTTGTGGATCTGACCTTCAGGTCGAAGGCTCGGGGTGTGGCCCCTTATGAAAACCACCTACTTCGGTTTGGGCACCCGGGCAGTCTCACAGCCCTCACACATATCGAATTAGATTTGTGTGGCGCATATCTATTCGGTGCCTCTTTGTACCAATATCTATGTGTTAAAATAAATAAATGAAAATAAAAAATATTGTGACCAAAGAAGCTTCACAGATCATTCGTTCATGTAGAATTTTATAAACCATGTGTTTCAATAGGTTTAGATCAGACTTTTGATTTCCCTGGGTGAACTTTCTTTGCCTATCAATCTGATTTAAACATCGGGCATTTGTTTTCACTCTCACTTTAGTTAAATCATTCCTGTCATTTGATGTGTCGTGTAGAATTTCCTTGTAAACAAATACACGTTTGTAACCGTGTGTGAATGGACTATCCTTACATTGACTACACCGGGTTGTTCGGGAGCCATTCCTAGAATCGCTTCTTCTGACTTTTCCCTTTTAATACGAATCATAGGCTATACATATTATTATTACTGCTAATTTATAAATGTCAAATTTGCATGCGATTCAATATTCACAGGTTTAATATAACTACATAAACTTCTTTTAGGCGGGATATGGTGGATAGCACACCAAACAAACGCTGAAGACACTGAGATGGACAGTAATTACTTTGTCAGGTGGACAGAAATTCAAAACCCAGATTGTGATACTAAAAAACGTAGGGGAACTATTTCAGCTTTCCCTCCTGGTGTAAATCTTCTTGAACCTGTGCCTAGCTGGTATAAACATCCTACTTATTTAACACAATCCTCAGATGATAGCCCAACAGACAATCTATGGGATGAATCTAGTGTTGATGTTCAGTTACATATATTTTTGGATCAACTTTTTCACCCTGGTTGTCTGTCCTGGTTTGCGATTGCAAATGCATTCAAAGTAAGTTTTTTTTTCATTTTTCTCATGGATACTTGTTTATCCCCCATCTTAAAGTTTACCTTGGTTAAACTACATTACATAATGACGTTTAACATCAGGTAAATTTTATTGTGGTTTTACTCAACCAAGGAGATATACCATTTTCCTCGGTTTATTCATTTCGAAAAACAATTGAGTTGGTAGCTTATCTATTAAGAAACCCATCAAAAAATCGGGTTAGAACCCTGCGTCACTTATTTTAGTTTGGGTAGTATAGTTAATCCACTAGCCTACACAAATCGCGTGATTCAGCGCCAAGTAAATAAATCTGCACTTAGTTACTGAATTGCACTACTAGCTCATAAACTTGGTCGCAGTTCGTGATGTTCTTTGTGTAAATTTATGTGTCTACTTTTCTGACCACTCGTCTATAACACTAATTAGGTGTCAACATACTTATTTACGGTTGTGTCTACGTGTTCGTTTAAATGATTTCTCTACAAATCACTATTATTAAGTATCTTCGGAGGACTGATTGGATTCTATAGATTAGGCGGTGTGTAAGTTGAATCTCGACCTCTGTTCCCAGGAGAGAATGATATACGTAATTTTCGATCGCTATTTTCGCTATTAGTTGTGTGGACCTTTTGATGTTGTTTCACAGGATCATATTGAGTGATGGAGTGGACTCTGTTGTAATCTATTCACATTAAAAAATCCCTCAGTAAAAATTTACAATAATCTCTTACGACTTATAAAATTATGAAGAGAATCTAATTTTCACCAAGGTTTGTATTTTGTTTCATATCTTATCTGACTAATAGTTAGCTTGGTTCTTCCTTTGTACTAACTGAACCTTTAAAGCATCATTATTTTTTTGACTACGTTTCTTGGTTAAATTCATGTTTTTAGTCACTTTGTGAAAGTTATTCACTCTTGGATTGTGATTCAGTGTTCACCGTCAGTAATCTTCATGAAATGCGTGTTTTTATACATCGAAATTTGTTGGATAAGGTTAGTTCCTCGTTGTTGGTTTTTAATTACCTTTCATATACATAAATATGCGTGTTAAACCAAATGGTAAAGTCGTAGTACATAGTCATTAACAATTTTCACGATGAAAGTTTATGGATTCTCATGGTATTCTGACCATCTTATGTTGACACTTTCTGAAAAAATGAACTAAACAAACATGTCACTGTTCATTACTCAGAGATCAGTTAATTGCAAATATCCTAATCTTACAGGAGCTCAGTGGTAACGTCTTAAATCTGAATGACACGGGGTCGAATTCAATAAGGAGCTCCAGTTCCCTCAAAATTACAGGTAGACCTTGCCAACTGCTGTAAATAACGTTCTCGCCATCTGAATTTTCGGGAATCGATCTCCTACCAAGAGGTCCACTTATCGACTTAGGATAAGCAAATGACAGCCCTGTTTGGTAACGACACTGATAAAATAATCTTATGGTAGCACTGAGCAACAATACCAGGAAGTTTGGGATACGTTTCTCCCACCCTCCTAAATGCAAGTTGTTGCTTCAGGACTGACCTACGTCAACACTTGAACTAAGGATAGGGAGTGAAGTAGTCGAACGCGTTGACAATTTCACTTATCTTGAAAGTCTGATCAGTCCTAATAAGTTGGTGTCTGACGAAATATCAGCACGAAGTCGAAAGCTCGTTTGGCTTTCGTCAACTTACGTCACCTACGGCAAAGGCGAGATATCCGTCTGTCAATAAAAGGACGAATTTACTGCGCTGTAGTTTGTTCTGTTTTAATTTATGGCTGCGAAACGTGGCCATTAAGAGTAGAAGATACTCGTAAGTTGCTAGTATTCGATCACAGACGTTTTAGACATATTACTGGCATCAGCTGGGATCAACGGGTAAGTAGTAGTGAGGTCAGACGCCAGGGTATCAGGGATTGATGGTAAATCAGTTGATGAGGTTTTGAATCTTCACCGAGTGAGATGGTTGGGCCACGTGTTGCGTATGCCTGAACACCGATTACCACGGCGCGCAATGCTGAATAGCGTTGGGGATGTTTGGACGAAAGTTAGGGGTGGCCAAACCAAGATGTAGTGTCAGTCCTTGAAGTCACTAACTTCTAGCCTGAGCCATGTTGGTAGATGCAGACTACTTGGTTGGGGTCCGCGTGACTATCATAACCAATGTTTAGAGACTGTGTGAAGTGACTCAGAAGAGATCACAATGGCGTGGGTAGATACACTCTGTCTTCCCTTAAGCTGTGAGACTACTTTATACCTTTCCATGAACTGATTCTTTCTCCTTATATTATATCTTTATATACAATCTCTCTTTTACGTATTACTACCATTGAAGTAGATACTTCAATGAATTTGGCGTTCATCTTGTTGTACTAATGAGGTGTAACAACTTGAACCGATGCATATATGTACCTGGTCTTACATTGTAGATGACTGACTGACTTATAGTTGTAGCTCACTCAATTGCTTTCATTATGACTAATTATTTCTCCTTCTGGCAGCTAATTCCAAATCTCGATCATGCTGGTTTCAAAACAATGTTAAAGACATTTTATGCTACGGCTATTGATTATCATGAACATGGTTTGCAACCTTTAGGATTGTTACGTTTAGGTACTACGGATACTACTACTACTAATGGTAGTAGTACATCAGAAAAGATGTTTCCCAGTGAAGATGATACTGTTATAGTTATTCGTCGATGGGGATTTTCTGTTCTACGTTATTTACAAGATGTGGAAATTCTATTATGGAATAATGCACCTCCTTTAATTAATCGAATGCAATCACGTAAGTACTCTTCGAGTTTTCTTCTAGTTTGGTGTTATATGTATTGTTGCGAGTAACTCTACTAAAATGTTGATGGACATTTTCAGCTTATTTCTGGAGATATTTTTTTGCACCATGTAATAAACCGCACCTGATGCATAAGGTCTAGTAGTATTACTAAGTAGTCCAAAGTGGAATATATAAATTGGGTTGGAAGTTTCCAAGTTCATATCATTGAATCATATCTCTGCATATATTTACTATTCACTATGTTGTGATGATGAATACTACCGTATATTTAGGTTAATAGTTCTCAATTTACTTATCTTTAATGGAGGCATCAAGTTGGTTAATTATGAGTTTAATCGTTGTTTTTCTAAAGAGAATTGATCAGTCAATTAATCAGCTTATAAACCTTCATCAATTGAATTGGTTTGCATCCGTGTCACACATGCTCAGCCACCTGTTTGAATGTGAAAGTTAAGTAGCATGGATGTAAGCTGAAATAAATAAAGAGTTGGTCAGATAATGACATGACATCTTTCCATGAAGTAGTTCACCGTTTTTTATGTCTTTCTGGGAGATCCAAGCTTCCTCGTCTTTGGCGTTGATAAGATAATTTGTTACCTATGGTTGGAAACCGTCAATGATTTGAGTCAAACTCGATCTCAGTGATTGACCCATTCATTGATTACTCTTCTTAAAATCTTCAGCTTTATATTCTTTGGTTTCCATTCTTCATCCTTCTCAACAATCTTCTTACCTTATATTCTTCTTCTTCCTATTATTATTATTATTATTACTAGTGATATTTTCATACTTCCTCTCTTTTCGTTATATGTTTTCGAATTCATTGGCGTAAAGTACAACACCTCATGACCAGCACTTATATATTTTTACGTTATATCTGGATTAGTTTACGCCTAACAAGTATCCGAAGTAGTTAATCATACATAGTACGCATAGAAGTAAGATTGTCATTGGTTGTTACCACATTACGTCAACACAGAGAGATGAACTTATCAAAATGAAAGGCGAAGGAGTTGAAATAATGGTAGCATCAATTATATTACTGGAAAAGAGAATAGAAAATGAATAATGTATGTAAAATATTCAGAGGAAGATAAAAAGTGAATGTATCTACGCCACTGTGACCGATTCTCAGCTATGCATGCCATCTAGAATCGCCAACTATTGATCACGATTATCTCCCCGACCCCAACCAAGTAGTATATACTTATCGATACATCCCAGATCAACAGTCAAAGACTTCATGGGCTGATTCCACGTTTAGCTTTCTGCCGACCTACTTCTATCACTCACCATTAGACGTTAAAGTAGGCGGTACTTGGACATACGTAAGACATGTCTCAGTCACCTTAGTTGATAAAGATTTTCAGCCTCGTCAACCAAATTACTAATTTTGACAACAGTTATGTAGTTTTGTATATTCACAAGTTTTCCAGATTAGAATAATCTGAGGTTTGAATGAGACTACTTCATATATATATATATATATATATATATATTCTAGGGATTCTATCTCTATTTTCCTTTAGCTCATCTTGATACAAAAGTGAACACACAAAACATCGTTGATCTAACTACGGACTGTAGAAAGATCCTGCATATTCTCCAAGCTCAACCTCAATGGCCTCATTGGAAAGCTAATCTTTTTGATCGTACGAAATCTAATTTAAACGTCAGCCCATTAGTATTAGTTGAACAAATAATGTAAGTGTCTCTCAGTAAGCTTTTTCGTTTTCCTCTTAATCCTCCTTTATGGGCAAATATGATATCCAATGTGATTTTTAATGCTGTTTTTTCGTGTTTGGCGGTTAAATCTACCCGTTCAACAGTACGATAAATTACTTGATGTCATGCTTGAAAAAAAACGCTACAAGGTAGAGTTCCCTCACCAACTTAAAAATACAGCCATTGGCCAGTTATTATCGAATTGTTCATGTTCAACTCTCTATTCTTACTACCATATAGAAGTTAGTGAATCTGAACACGTTACCATGCACAGGCCGTGAATCATCTACATATAAGGAATTTCATTTCAGTATCAAACTGAAATCCTAAACGTCATATACGGCACTATACGTGTTTAGTTTCAATTAACTACTCATTCACCAATTACTTGGTTATGTGCAACACTCTGATGGCTTTTGATATTACTCAAACTGCCCAAAGCGAAGTAAATGAAGATGGTTTCAAACCTGGAACAAAGTGGATGAAAGCCAAACGTCTTAACCAGTAAGATACTGCCTAATTGGCATGTTTTTCAATGTTCTAGCTACACTATTTGTGTCCCACTTGATTTCATATTTAAGAGCTCTTTTAAGCTTTATAGCTAATGACATTCTGAAAAACTATATATATATATATATATATATATATATATATATATATATATATATATATATATAATTATTCTAGATCAAACAAACTTAAAACTTTTTGGACGTTCAGTTAAGCAAAATGAAATTGATGGAGATATATGTTAGTTTTCAAACCCAGTCTTCACGAGACTGAAAACGTTTTAGAAATTAAGAATTATTTCCTTTTTGTTGTCCTTTCCTATATGTGTTATTATGTCATATTCCCTGTCGTCCGTAGGGTAGATATTTATATCTTACTTGATGAGAGCTTATCTTAATCCCTGTATAAGTTAGAACCGTTCAGCTGCAATCGAACGACATTAAACCATGGTCTTATGATCATTAAAAATTAATTAACTAACTGAAACTAAGAATAATTCCTAAAGTTAGTCACATTGTCTCGAACTTTCACATCTGTAGTCATTTAAGGTAAAGAGAAAATACTGTAAGGAATAACACGTGTCCAGGTTAAATTGTTACTTTTGAAAATACCATCACTGAAAATCTATACCATTGAACCACTTGAGTTCATCATCTGATACTTTTTTCCCTAGTGAAGAACTCGATCAAATCAATGAATGTTGGCTACCTCCGCCTATTATTTCATCTGTAAAATTTAAAAGCCCATTTTGTACTGGCTCTCTGTCCAATTCACATCTCACTGCTGTCATCTATTTATTATCGCTTTTGGATAATTGTGATATTATGAATAAAAGTGTTCAGCCTTTACAAAGCTTATTCGATATGGATACTAATTCAACGTATGAAGATATGGAAATAACTAATCAATCGTGGTATAATAATAGTAGATCTATGGGAGAGAGAAGTAAGTCAGTTCTTGGTGAGAAATTCTGTTCTTGTTGTTTTCTGGATTTGACTAAAGCATCTGACTGTAACATTAAGTAGTAACTTAAGCTTCATCTTCATAGGGAGCATTATCTTCAAGACTCCATATACACCTTGCTAATTAAAGTCAGTTAGAATAGAATCTAGCTGTTAAACCCACCGAAATAGTTCACTAGAGGTCATTTGAAGTCATTTGACCGAATTTCTCAAGATGTTTCTACAATAAAACTGACAATTAACTTCTGTCCCTATTTATCAAGATGAGATGTGTCTTTCCAACATGATTCCTGATGTTAATGAAATTCTTTGATTACTTGAACATACATTTGATAACTCACCGCTGTATAAGTTTTCATTCAGTTTTGATTAGTTGGTTAGTACCATTTATTATTTTGTGTATACGTTAGACCGATTTCATAACCTACTTGATTCAAGTATCCTGAACTATGGGGGATGGGGCGCCTCAATCGAATTCAGTAAAAGTTAGTTTTTTTAGCATGCTTCTCAATCTTTCAAAAGAACGTTTTTATACTAGTGACATCACCTATCTGGTCAACTGAAAGGATAAGTATTATTTTGTGTCGGTTTCTGTATCTAAAAAAATATTAAGGAGGATTTTATTCATAATAGTATTGTTAGTGTAAGTGGTTTTTGAATTTTTTTGAATTTCATAGTTTACATCTTAAACTGACCATAGTTAGACAACCATTAAAGACCAGAAGGTCCACTGTACAATCATTTCTTCTTAGTATGGGACAACTCAGCAGAGCTCATCCATGACCTCAGAGGTGGTCGAGCACACTATCTTCGGGTATAACAGCTGAAGCCCGACTTTTAGGTTTCCCAGTTGGTATATAATAGCATACAAGTTTAACTTCGATCGCTTCGCGATACTATGCAACCAACCAGTTGTAAAGTTCAACCATGCCGGGTTTAAGGCTACTGCTCACCAGTGACGTTATGGTGTGACTAGAGTGTGTTGCAAAATGACTTAATTTAGACTTGCAAAAAGCTTGGTACGGACTCAGTGACTTAAGTACTAGCCGTAAGACCCTATAGTTCTGAGCTCGATCTTTGGTGATTTGTGAATAAGCACTGTTGAGGTGCTTCATACTTAATAGGCAGATAAAACGGTTCAGTGCTTCCTGGCTTTCAATAGTTAGTGTAATTAATATCAGTTCGTAATGTAAACTATAAAATAATAATATCTTTTTCAAATTTTAATTCTGTCTAATCTGTACTTTCAATTATTATTTCAACAACAAAACAAAACAAAGCAGGTTCTTTCATCCCAACAAATGGTCAAACAATTGATAAAGAAACTAAGAAATTTACTAAAAATCTTTCTAATTCATGTGTACAGTTTGTACGTTTATCACTTGCTCAATCTACTGAAACTCGTATTTTATTTTCATTCGCTTTATTAATTTTAATACGACGTAATGAGCTCGCTTCAAATGGTTTCATCATGTTACGTAATATTAATAATAATGCCGAGGAGGATGGTGTTGAAGATGATGATTGTTCAACTGATAAACAACCGAAAGGTATAGATATCAACTGGCATAGTAATGCAAAAAATCGACTTGTCTCATTGATTCAAAGTCTTGGATTTTTACATAATTTAACAGTTGTTCGTGTACGGCCTACTCCTGATATGGATAAATTGTAAGTTGTATTTATTTAACGGTTAAAATAAAATTCTATTCTTTAATGATTAAATGTTTTTGAATAATAACCATCCTTTAAATATATAGTGTTTTTTGTTTTGGTACAACAAGGTAATTGGTTGATTTGTAAATGGTAACTTTGAGTTGGATATCTTTGAATGTAAAATAAACCTCTTTGTTAATGTCCAACGCTAAATCGTTTAACATGAAGGTTAAAGTTTCGTGTGATGATGTGATTTACTTCATAAACTTTATACTACAAAATAAATATGTGAGGAAATTACTGATATTCAGTGTTCAATAATTGTAGGTACTTGGTAGAAGTAAACAATATTGCCTAAACTGTTTATTTATTTAAACACATAAACATTGGCGCAAGGAGGCAACAAATATGTATGCTCCACATAAATCATTCTATTTGTGTAGGGGCTGGAATACTGCCCGGGTGCCCAAGCCGGAACATGGTTTTCCTAGGGGGGCCACACCCGGAGCCTTCGACTTAAAGGTCTAATCCACAAGGCAGCAGAGCAACTTTAGGAGATGCAGCCCCATAATGGCGGGTGACCAATAACTCGTTCATACGCCATTTGTTAACTCAGGATCATGGAGCCCATGCGCACCATTAGTTCGGAGTGAGGGTTTTCCAACCCCCCTAGGTGAATCCTCCAAATCCACCAACCCGGTCAAAGCGTCGGTTATTCGCTTTTTGTCCTCTAAATTTCGTAAACAACACCCGTTTCGAGAAGGCAATGAGTAGGACTTCCCTGTCAGTGGTTGTATGCGTGTGGTGATGTGAGAGCATTTCGAGAGGGATAGCTGACTCTCTCCACTCTCGGCCGTACCAGGGCCTAAACTGATCATATCTAAGATATTGGCTGTTCAGATTTGCACAAATTTTTAAATGCGATAATGGAAAGCTCATATGCATTTGAAAGCTTAATAAAATCTAACAATATTTAATTATTATTAAGACGCTTAAAATTGATAAGCACAAGAAGAAGTAAGAATAGAGATGAATTTTAGCGATTCGTTAGGTAACAAAGAGGAAGTGATTAGTTTTCTTTCATAAGAAAATAATAAGGAAAATAATCAAACGGAAATCAAATGTACATAACATTTTGACGTAATTTATGAATAATCCAATCTAATTTAAGAGTTCGGTGAGAATATAACAGCGGTGAATTTGAAATAGTTGTGACTGAATTTCCAACCAGTTTGGTTAGGCGCCCGCGCGCGAGACTGATAGGTCTTGGGTTCAAATCCCGTGAGGCAGGATCTTCGGTGCGCACTGCTGAGGAGTCCCACAGTAAGACGAAACGGCCGTCCAGTGCTTCCAAGTTTTCCATGGTGGTCTAGCTTCAATCGACTCATGATCTCAACTATTGAAATTACTACAATCTCCACAAAACCCCTTCTGATCATAACAGCTTGTCTTTATGGATATGGATTATCCATCTTTTCAAAGCCCTATAAGGATCCACTTAGATTTGTGAGTATCTCACATTCTTCTTGGGTAATGTTAATTATTTAGGGTAAAGATTAGTGTTTTAGGGTTGAGAGTTTAGTCATCACATCAGCTAATAATGTAGAGATTCTTTGCAGACAAATCTATGGATGAATTTTGTGCAAAGATCCAAAATGCACTATCTGGTTCGCTCGTCCATGAAATGAGATGCCCAAGTTAAGGGTTTTTTTTCAGGATTAAGGGTTTATGGTCAGGGTCTAATGATAGTGTTGATTTGGCTGTTATATACAATATAAAGAGATAGAACTAAGCACTTAATACGTTTCACGCTTTATAAAAATGTATTTATACTGTTTATCATACGTAATATTTGAACTTCGCACAGGAACCTAAATGTCGCATTCTCGGTTCCGATTGACTCGTCCACAAAGTATATTTTTGCCAAAAGATCTCGTGAGATTTGATAGGATTATCTTTATATGTATTCATCGTCATATGACCATAAATTATCCTCCCACCCTAAAATCAACGCCTAAATCCTGATCCTAACGTTTTTGGGTTTATTGTGTACTAAATAATTCATTGACCACTTTGAGACTATTTATCCAGTGTAATTTTCTTATCTTTATATTATAAAGTGTTTTATGACTAAAGATTGTTTTCTGATTAACTGGAAACTCTCTCAAGTTTGTCAGTATAGTTTTAACGGATAATCTATAGAAAACCTAAAACCTAGACTGAAGGTATTGGGTTTGAGTCCCTCGTATGGAGTCGTGTGCGCTCAGCGCTGAGGAGTTTCATACCAGGACGAAGCGGCCGCCCATTGCTCACAGGTTCTCATTAGTCTGACTTAGATTTGTTTACGATTCCAGTGGAATCTAACGATCTCCACAACTTTTTACCGATATATAATAAATACTTCTGCAATAAAGTATAGTCAGTTCAGGTTAGGCCAATAACAGCAATCTATCAAAAAACTATCAAACATAGAGAATGCCAAGTTCTGAATTGCTGTTTGAATGAAATACGTTTCTAACCAGTAAGAGAATTGACAGTTTGTACCAGGAAAAAGGATACTGCTTACTTGTAAGTAATAATAGTTATAAAACAAGAATTTCACGAAAGTATTTTAATAATTATGGCATTATAAGATAATGATGGTATGAATGAAATCAATTAACAACGCAATAAAACCCTACTTATTGAGGTCAACAGAATGGATCATGTTTAAATCCGTTAGTATTTGGTGCATACCGAAACAATCTTCATTAAGTTCGTTTTTTGATTCTTCAAACTTTGAAGTTTCATAAACACCGATAAAAAATGGCATTACATAAAAAATACCATAATATGCTTGCCAAAAATGTTATGAATCAGTTTATTAGCAGACCATAATGAGTCTTTCAGTGTGTATACTGGTTGTGGTCCATGATGAGGTTCTAATTTCTCTATCACCACTTAGTAGGCGATCTTATCGTTAGGATAATAATAATCCATAAATGAAACAGTACTTCATGATTTATATTACGGACTGATTTTATGTATAAAAACCTATGTTAGGAGGCAATGGCCTGATTTCTTGTCTTACTATGGGCCTGCTCAACAGTACGCATCCACGACCCGACCGGGGATCGAACCCAGGGTCTCCCGGTCTTCCGTAGGGCTCTTAACCTTCGAATCACTGAGTTAGAACTGTAGACTGTTGCATACCAACTCAGTAGTTCGAATGGTATTCGCTCATAGCAAGACATGAAGGCCTTGACTTTTATCCCCTTTGCGGTCATGGATACTTACAGTTAGAGTCTTACACTTCATCGAATCAGCTATCCAGTACTTCCTCCTGGTTTTTAATCATTGTTTAACTAACATTAGTCCATTATTTATACTGAAATCCACCAATCTTTACGATCCATTATGGAAATAATGAAACTGCTTATTTATCTTCAGTACATCATATATATAGTGTTTATGTGAGTGAAAATTTGATCTCTAGTTGTTTTTCTTTTCACAGATCTATCATTAGAGATCATCTGAATATCCTTGGAATTCATGATATCCTCTTTCCTATTGAAAGACTGAATATTAGTTCTACTACTGCTCATTTATCAGTATCACCAGTCAATCAAACACCTGGTATGACAATATTTGATCAAATCTGGTTGAACTGGGATTGGTTGAAATTATGTTCTACTTCAAAGACTTACATCTCACCCCCTCTTTTTCTAGTTGGTCTGAATTTAGTGATTATGTTCTATCAGAATTTTCAAGATTATTATCTCCTACAGTAGATGGTGGACAAGGAATTGTCTATGTGCTTTGGTTGTTACTATGGTGTGGACATGTAAGTTTTCAATTAAACCAGTTTTATTTTAAATTGTATAATTTTAATATTATTATAAATTTTGTTTAGTTAAACACATAACTATTGGTACAAAGGGGCACCGAATACATACGCCACACAAGTCACTTGATTTTTGTGTGGGCTATGATACTACCCGGGTGCCCAAACCGAAGCATGTGGTTTTCTTAGGAAACCACTTCTTGACCCGTTGATCTAGAGGTATAATCCACAAGGCAGTGGAATACCCTTAGGAGATGCAGTCTCATGGTAGCCAGTGACCATCAACAGGTTTATACAGCATTTGTTTATTCAGGATCCTAGGGCTAATGTGTACCATTGATTTGAAATCAGGGTTTTCTAACCCCCCTAGGTGGATCCTCCATATCCACCAATCCGGTTTAAACGACGTACATTCGCTTTTCGTTCTTTCAATTTCTTAAATAACACCCTTACCATGAGAGTGAATAGGACTTACCTAATAGTGGCTGTATACGCATGGCCATGTGAGAGAATTTCGAGGTGGTTAGCTGACTCTGCCCACCCTTACTCGTACCAGGGAATTCGAGGGCAACTAAAATTAGGAACTAGTAAGAGATGAATATCTACTGAAACGTAAGAGCGTGCTGGATACCCAACCACTTTATTACAAGTTTTTTTAGAATGTATGGATAGATTACAATTAGTAGTGGAATCCCGGATACACATTTAACCCTATTTACTTACATCAAGGCAATGCTGAAAATCAATAACAGATGCTTACTAATAATAGTAGTATCAGCATCGCACCCGTTGAATAAGGTAGTGGCTATATTAAATAAGTGGTTTAGTGAATAATGATACGTTAGCATTTGAAGCGAAAGGTAATGAGTTCAAGTCTCGATATCAACATCATCTAACCTTACTTGGACCCTGACTCATAATAATCTAAACTTTAAACTCACTCCGCGAGACTTGAAGGTTCTGTGTTCAATCTTCTATATGATCAAGAATGTACACTTTTGTGAAACTCTATCCTACATATTGATACAAAATATTCATGCAGTACTTCCCGATTTTCAATATTTACCCAACTTACATCAGTCTATGATGTAACCCATAGAAATAAATTTACCTTTTTAAAATAAACTGTAATACAACTGTGATTACATCATTTTTGTTTCATGTACAACGATCCGTTCAATTCTAGAGTTTTTTATGTTTCTAGTTGTATGTGTATATATTGTGTGGTGTCAGAAAAAAGTTACGAAAGCTATAAAACACAACATTTCGTCATCATTTAATTTGGTTATTCTTTCGGTTTTCAATGGTTTAGTTTTCTCTCAACGTTTCTACCATTAAATGAAGAGCTTATGTTTTTTCCCTTTATATTGTAATTAGTCGAATGAAGTGATCAAATTGTGTATGCTTCTGTTACCTCCAACACGATCAACTCGAATGGTTGAAAATGCTACCAAACAGTTTGTTGGTGATATTAATAATAATCAAGAACACAGAAGTTGGCAACTACTGTTCAGTTCTCCAGATTTGATCAATACCAATGAGGACGGGGAATTGTGGCAGTCTCAAAATTTTGATAATGACACTTCAGATTATGATGATGATAATAATGACGGGAGTAGCGGTAGAATTTCTTGGTGGTGGGAGAAAGATTTCAGTTTTGTTCACTTATGCATTGGTTTAGCGAAATTATGGTCAGGGTATGTGATTCATGATATTGGTTTGTAAAGAAACATACACTGTTATTATGATTACTATTATTAGGTATTATATGTTATTCTAAACTACCTTACTTTGTCCTTCATCAATTGATGAAGTAGTGAAACTTCATCAGTTGAGATGGCTTGGACACGTGTTACGTATGCCCAACGACCGACTGCCTCGACGTGCTATGTTCAGTGGTATAGGAGTAGGTTGGAAGAAAGCTAGGGGCGGCCAAACCAAAACATGGCACAAGTCCATGAAGTCACTGACAAGTGAACTGAGTCATGTTGGTAGGTGTAGACTACCTGGTTGGGGACCGCGAGATGATAGCAACCGATGGTTAGAGACCCTGAATGACATGGCTCAAAATCGTTTGCAATGGCGCAGGTGCATCCACTCTCTATGTTCTCCCAAATTCTAATCTTCTGAATCCTTCATGTCCGTTTTTTCCTCTTTCCAAATTTATTTCACTGGATTATACTCTTTAAATAACATCTCCAAACCCTAATCTTCCCGATTACTGCTTATACTCTTGCTACCTCTACCACTACGGGATTTGAATCGACAACTGCATCTCTGTGCTAATGTGGTGTGGCAACTCGAACTGATGTACATACGTACGAAGTTCTACGTTGTTACTGACTGACTGACTGACCTTCATAGTTTATATTCTGAACTGGTTTTAGTTAGACGACTATTTGATACCAGGGAGCCCTAAATAGCTGTTTCGGTTCTAGTATTGAACTTCTTAGTAGTACGTGTCCACTACCCCATCGGAGATTGAACTGCAGAACCATCCTCAACTCACTGAGTCATCATCTAATGGCTTACACGCCAATTTGTGATGTTGTGCGACTATTATTTATTTATTTATTTGAACACATAAATATTGGTACAAGAGAGCGCCAATATATATGCGCCACACAAAACAATGGGAATTCGAAGAGAAGTAGAAAGAGAAAAAAAAAAACTAAGGAACGCAAAAGAAAAAGAGAGTAATGACGAAGAGGTACAATCAGAAGAAATCTTTCAGGTAAAGGAGACACAACCACTTTTTATGAAGAAAGTAAAAGAAGGTTACAGCAGGATCGCCACTGGCTTCTATTCTGAGCCATATCTGATAACGTCTCTAGCCACTGTGTAGCACCATCTCTCGGACCCCAACCAGGGAGTCGTGAAGGACCAACACAAGCCAGTCCTTTGCAGCTTTCTTTCATGCCACGACACCATGTCATGCACTGACCACCTCTCCGCTTCTTCCAACCAGTCCCAGAGTCGGCAAATAATGCACGACGTGGAATTCTCTGGGACGACATTCGGAGAACATGTCCAAGCCACCGAAGTCGGTGTTTCAAGATGGTGACACCAATTGAGTTATCATCTCTGTGCCCGAACACACGATGCCGAACCTCTGCATTACTGACATGGTGTTGCCACTGAATGTCAGCAATCCTTCGGAGACAGCGATGATCGAACACAGAGAGTCGTCTAACGTCCTCAACTCGGAGAGGCCAGGTTTCACAAGCATAGAGCAAAACTGCTCTCACCGACGCGTTGTAGATCCGACCTTTTACAGCCAGACTAACATCACGAAGGCGCCAAAGGTGGCCCAGATTGGCATAAGCCGCTCTGGCTTTCACTATTCGTGCATTGATCTCATCACTCACACCCCCACCAGCACTTATGCAGCTACCCAGATACACGAACTTCTCAACTACGTCTATCTGCTCACCATCCAGGGTGAGTACAGGATTAGAATCCTGCCAGTCTTGTAGAAGTACTTTGCACTTCGAAGGTGCAAAGCACATACCATACCTACGGACACTGATTGCCAACTGATTAAGTGCGGATTGCATGCCTTGGGCATTATCGCACAGTAAGACAATATCGTCCGCATACTCAAGGTCGAGAAGTCTTTCTCCAGGCAACAGATCCACACCACCATTACTTACATTCATCAGAGCTGTTTCCAGAATGTCATCGATGGCAAAGTTGAAGAGGAATGGTGAGATTGGGCAACCCTGCCTAACCCCACTGCTCGAATGGAACAATGGAGAGAGGTGGTTGTATGCCCTCACTCTGCCTGAGGTGTTTTTATACAGGGCTTTTAGGATGTTAATAAACTTCTCAGGCACACCCTTCTTCAATAGACAATCCCAGAGAACAGTCCTGTCCAACGAATCGAAGGCAGCCCTGATGTCAAGAAACACTACGATTGTTGGCCTTTGAAAAGTATGGCGGTGTTCTAACATTTGGCGGAGGGTGAAGATATGATCAATACATCCTCGACCAGAACGAAACCCAGCCTGCTCCTCGCGAGTCAATCTTTCTCGGGTTTTGAACAACCTACGAAGAATGACGGAAGCCAATAGCTTGGACGCAATCGGAAGTAAACTTATCCCCCGATAGTTGTTACAAGAACGACGTGAACCCTTTTTAAAGATAGGGACAACTATCGACTCATTCCATGACGTTGGTACACTCTCTAGTTCCCAAACCTTTGTAAACAACGTCGTCAATTCCTTAGTCAAAAAGTCACCACCATCTTTAAAAAGAGCCGGAGGTAAGTCATCTGGGCCAGGTGATTTGTAACGCTTCAAGAGTTGGAGTTCCTTGCGGACTTCCTCCTCATTTGGTGGATCAGTCGTCACCGGCCATGGAGGGCAGGACAGTCTGACCGATGTTGCCGGAGCAGCAGGCCAGTTGAACTGCCCTTCGAAAAATTCTGCCCATCGTCCAAGACGTCGATGGATGTTAGTGATTGGCATCCCATCATCCTCGCAGATTGTTTCACTCACACCAGACTTCTTGCTGCCAGTGGCTCGGATGAGCTGGAAGAGCTTCCGGTAGTTACCAGATGCAGCTGCTGCTTCCAGCTCATTAGCACGCATCGACCACCAGGCTTCTCGGTCCTTACGCAAGCTTTGCCCAATTTCCTTACGTAACATCCTTCGTTTATGGTCAAACTCACGGTCACCCGGAGTAGACCGACGGGCTTCAATGAGTTGTAAGGAACCAGAAGAAACCCAGTGCTTAAAAGCGGGACGTTTCGCAAACCCACAACTGACTGTTCCCGCCATTTTCATGGCGTCATGCAATTGCAACCAATGCTCATCTATACTTTTCGGTGGAGTGGTAGCTAGCCTAGAGGCTAGCTCGGTTCGATACTTACTTGCAACAGAAGTTGCAACCAGCTTGCTAACATCAATCCGTTGGTGGGGTCACTTCGTTGTCCACTGAAAAGTAAGGCAAGATTGGCGCAGACCAAGGCATGGTCAGAGTCCAGATAGGTACTCCAAAAGGAGCGGCAGTCTTGTACACAACCACGCCAGCGGTAGCTGATCGCGATGTGATCAATCTGAGTCCAGGCTTGAGATGCAGAGGGAGGACGCCAGGTGGCACATCGGCGATGACTGTGCCGAAAGTTAGTGCTAGCCAGAAACAGGTTGTGGTCTGTGCAAAGTTGCAGTAGACGGTCCCCGTTATCTGACCTGCGACCAACGAGTCCCCATCGGCCACCTAAACGACTCTCTTCTGTGCCTAGACGCCCGACCTGAGCATTCAAGTCTCCGGCTAGTACTACAATATCTGTCGAACGCACTTTCTGGAGAAGAACTGATAACTGGTGGTAAAACTCATCCTTGATTGCATCCGGGCTGCAATCTGTCGGGGCATAGGCGGAGATGACGAAAAGACATCGTTTCTCACGCCGATTTCTTCTCACTTTGATGGAACTTTCTAATCTAACAGCACATAACCGACTGTTAATGGGGATCCAATCGACTAGTGCTGCCTCAGCTCTAGCGCTTAGTGCGACACCAACGCCAGCAAGACCAGACGAAGATGCCACAGGGTCCCCGGATAAGCGCACGTAAAACAAGCTTTTCGAAGCGACAGATGGAGATCGAATTTGTAGTACTTCGCCAGAGTCTTGAATACGGGTCTCGGATAGACAACACACGTCGATATTAAGACTTTCCAAAGACATAGCCAGCCCTATCTGTTGTCCGACCTGCATAAATGTGCGAACGTTGAAGGCAGCCAGTTTGAATGGTGCACGTGGTTTCAGAAAAACTGCTTCAGTCCTCGTATTCGGTGGTAACATACAATTTTCAACCGGACAGTGACTCGAGAACGTTTGGATACAGTCGGAATTCCACCAAAGACGAGCCGCTGTATAAGTCAGTCAGTCAGCTACAACGTAGGACCAGGCACATGTATGCATCGGTCCAGGTTGCCATACCTCATTAGCACAGCAAGATGAACACTGGATTCATAGGAGTGGTTAGGTCAAAGGTGGTAATATATAGGAGAAAGATTGCAATAAGGATATAGTATAGGAAGAAAGAATTAGTTCGTAGAAAGAAAGATGTGAAGTGATCTTAATCTCTTAGTTTAAGAGAAGACAGAGAGTGTATACACCGACGCCATTGTGATCGATTCTGAGCCATGTCACCAAGGGTCTCCAACCATTGGTTACGAAAGTCACGCGGACCCCAACCAAGTAGTCTGCATCTACCAGCATGGCTCAGACTAGAAGTTAGTGACTTCAGGCACTGATGCCACGTTTTGGTTTGGCCGCCCCTAACTTTCTTCCAACCATCCCCTACACCGGTTAGCATTGCACGTCGCGGTAATCGGTGTTCAGGCATACGTAATACGTGGCCCAACCATCTCAGTCGATGAAGATTCACAACCTCATCAACTGATTTACCATCATTCCCTAATACCCTGCGTCTAACCTCACTATTACTTACCCGGTGATCCCAGCAGATGCCAGCAATATTTCTAAGGCATCTGTGGTCAAATACTAGTAGCTTACGGGTGTCTTCTACTCTTAAGGGCCATGTTTCGCTGCCGTAAATTAAAACAGAACGGACTGCCGCGCAGTATACTCGTCCTTTTATTGATAGACGGATATCTCGCCTCCGCCAAAGGTGACGTAAGTTGGCAAAAGCCAAACGAGCTTTACGAATCCGTGCTGAGATTTCGTCAG